TTTTTTTGAGACAGGGTTTCTCTGTGGTTTTGGAGCCTGTCCTGGAACTAGCTCTTATAGACCAGGCTGGTCTCGAACTCACAGAGTTCCGCCTGCCTCTGCCTCCCAAGTGCTGGGATTAAAGGTATATGCCACCACTACCCGGCATCTGGGTAAGACTCTTGGTTGCAGCAGAAACTCACTGGATCCAACTTCAGCAAGAAGGACAAGGAGGAGGAGAAATAGTAACAATAACAATTCATTATAGAGGTTACTTCTTGCAAGTTTCCCAGATTCCAACTATTTAGGCAGTTAGCCAGGTACCTAAACAAGTGGGAACATCCACACTGCAGAGAAACACTGTTACAATTCCTCTGTTAACTCTGCTCAAGAGGTTCTCCATCTCCATCCTCCCTTAAGCCAGTCTCAAAGAGACTTTCTAGTGGGAACAGTTTCTCTTCATCCCAATTCTATTCTCTCTCTCTCTCTCTCTCTCTCTCTCTCTCTCTCTCTCTCTCTCTTTCTTTCTTTTTTTGAGACAGGGTTTCTCTGTAGCTTTAGAGCCTGTCCTGGAACTAGCTCTTGTAGACCAGGCTGGCCTCAAACTCACAGAGTTCTGCCTTCCTCTGCCTCCTGAGTGCTGGGATTAAAGGCGTGTGCAACCACCGTCTGGAGTGACTTCCGTTCTTAGCCTGTATGGGGACAAGAATGACAAGGGGAAGCCTGGAACTTGGGTAGGAGGTGAAGACTTATATGGGGCTGAGGTCTGGATGTGTCTCTAAACGTTTATGGGTGGAATCTTAAAGTACAGTACAACAGTTTTGAGAAGTGGGAGCCTAATAAGAGATGGGATTAGGGACCTGGGGAGATGGCTCTGGTGGTGAAATGCTTGCTACACAAGTATAAGGATGTGAGTTTGAATTCCAGAACCTGTTCAAAAGAAGGGCATTGTGGTAAGGATATGTAATCACTGAGCCAGGCAGGCAGAGACAGGATTCCTGCGACTCTCGGGCTAGTCAGCCTTGTCAAATTGGTGAACTCCAAGCTCAGGGAGAGACAAGGAGGAGACCGATTGGGACAGATATCCAATGTCAATCAACTTCTGGCCTCCCAGTGCACCCCCCCCCCCAACAAAAACAGAAATATACATTTTTAAAAATAGGTGAGATTAGTTCAAAGGACTCTCCTTCACGAATTAGTATCACTATTAAGGGAGTATGTTATCTTGAGAGTGGGTTAGTATAAAAGCAAGCTCCGCCCCTCCTCTTCTGGTCTATTGTCCTTTGGCATTTCGCACACAGCACCAAGGATCTTGCCAGAGCATGGCAATATAGCCCCGAACTTCCTACTCTGCAGAAGCTTGAGAAGTAACTTTCTTTTCTTTATAAATTACCCGATTTGGTATTCCTTCAAAGCAACACAACACAAGATACATTTTAACGCCAGTCTGTTTTTATAAGGATAAAAATCCAAAGAGCTTCTGTGTTTAACAGGCACTAGGAAACCTTAAAAGAACAAAACACACAAAGTCCCTGGCCTGGTGGCACTCATAGCTGCCTAGAAAAGGCATATTAGAACAAGGCAGTTAAAGGCCCTGAATATTTGTGAAGTACAGGAATGTCCAATCATTTGACTTTTTAATAAATTTTTGACATGAAAAAATTATCAAAATAAATCAGTGGTACGCCAAGAACTCGTCCCACACGTGCCCGCCCACGTCTCCAAGAGCTGTGATAGGGAAGGGAGTGGTCCCAATGGCTGCGACCAAATCTTTGGTTATTCTCCGCAGATTTCAAGGAAGCCAGCCTCACCGGGGCAGGTCTGGCGTCTGTAAACTGGGGACAAGAAAACATCTAGTCCGATAGTTGGAGCTGGTCCGTTTCCTTTGTGCTTACCCAGTAGTTGGCAACACTTGCCCACTGAGAAGTCACTATGAGACTAGCCAGGAGACAAACATCTGCGGGGTGCAATTTCTCACTCCTAAACCACCAACATCTGGATAAAAGGGGAGCTAGACGGTGAACGGTAGGGGCCTGTATTAAGGTCTCCTGGAGGCGCCAGCATCGCGGAAGTGAAGCGCCAGACACCCCAAGTTTGGGGGCGTGGGCAGCGGTGCCTGCACAGGCAGGCTGGGGAGAACAATGAGATATCCGGGAGGAAGAAGTGGATGAACACATTAAGCCTCAAATAGAAAGGCAGGGGTCTGCAGCATCATCCGCGGCGTGATCGGCCCCGGGAGCAGAGATCCAGCGGCCGATCGTGAAGCCTAGCTCTGAACCCACCAGGGAAAAGGGCAGGGAAAAGCACGCCTGATGGCGGCTGCACGCGCCAGAAGAGCGCCACCCCAGTGCGCACGCGCAGAGCTTCGGCCGGTTCCCCCGCGCCCGCCGCGCGGGAGAAGCTACGCACTGCACAGAGAGGCGCCGCGTCTGGGTGAGCGCTCGTTCCCCCTCCCTTTTCTCCCGCCGTGCTTTGCGCGCGGCCGGTGGGCGGGGGAGGGAGGGGAGGGGAGGCGGCGGTGGCAGCCATGTTGTTGTGAGTCTCTGTGCCTCACCCTCGGTACTTCGGAGGTTCGGAGGAGGAGGGGGAGGAGAAGAAGGAGGTGGGGTGGGGGGGAGGGAGGTAGGAGGAGAAAGAAGACGTCGCCGCCACCGGAGGCGGAGGGGGAGGACGACCGGCCGAGAGCGTCGCCGCCGGTGCCCAACGGTCGGTGTCCCCCGGCTGAGGCAGCGCGGCCGCAGCAGCCCTGTAAGTCAGCCCGCGCTCGCTCCGTCTCGTCCGTGGGCGCCGCGGGGCGGGGGGCCGGCTCCGGGGCTTTGTGTGGCGGCCTCCACGGGAGCAGGCCTCGGGGCGGGAAGAGGCCGGGCCTGGGCGGGTGTCGGCTGCGGGCTGCGGCCTGGGCCCCGCTCGCACAATGCCGGGGGAGGGGAGCCGGAAGGGGGTGTGCGCCGGCGGGGGAGGGGGGTGCAGCTCGCTGTCGTCCCCCCCTTCCTTCCCGCGCCCTGCGCCCCGGCTGGCCAGGCCGGAGCCGCTTCGCCGGCCACTAGTGAACGAAGCTGTCTGCTTTCCAGCCTCAACCCTTGGGGTCCCGCAGTCTGGAAGCAGCACGGTGGAGCCAGGGAAACGTGCGCCTTGGAAGTGGGTGAAGCGGAAAGGAGTGGTTTTCTGAAAAAAAAAAAAAAATAAACGAGTGTATGGGGGTGGGTGGAGGGGGTGGGTGGTGAGGGTCGGGGGAGGGGGTCTCCTAGGCCTGCCAGTCAGTGTCCAGGAAAACCTTGGCAGACGGCTAGGATGTGAAAGAAAACAGGGACTGGGCTTCGACCGGTTCAGGTGCCTTAGTAAGGAGCGTGGTGTTTTTGTTAGGGGAACATCTCTCGGTACCCCGAAGAGTGTGCAACTCCAAAGCCGAAGGCCACAGGGGCCACTTGAAAGTCTTTGAGCCGTAGTTCTGCGTGTGAATCCGGGCAGATTTGGAAGGGAATAAACTGTGCCGCGATGCCCAAACACGTGTAAAGTTGGTGCCTCTTTCCAAGAACACAGCTCTAGAAACCCTCTTTTTTCTTAGCTTAGCCTTTATTCTGTAACACCTTGGAACTTTTGGGGAAGGGAATGGATTGCGGACATTTTATGTGCAAGAAGACAAAATGCCTTGACGGCGCTTCGGATTTTAAGAAATCTGGAGGCCGAGGTGTTTCTGTAAGGGTTTTAGGGGAACTGCTTTTAAATGTTTGACAGGCTCTAATGCCTGGAAAGGATACAGTGTGTCACGAAAGCAATTTTAAGAAGTTACCTTGGCATGTTAAAAGCTTGTTCATGGCTTAGATTCGTGACTCTTCACCATGTGACCGGGTGAATTGGAGGATATAGGAAATTCTAGCCAGGAATCCTGTTTAAAAATACAAAGATGGATATTTTTAATTGGTTAATAATAAGTCTCTGTTGCTAGTCTAAGATATTGCTTTTTATAAATGATTTACGTCGTGTGAACAGTCAAATAATTGACGGCATGCTCTTTTTTTTTTTTGCAAGAATGTCTTTAAAATTAATTTCCAGGGAAATTAAGTTCTGTTGTAGCACAGCTCTTCCGCACAAAAAAGTTACAGTAACTTTTTGTATTTCAGAAACTTGCTACAATATCCAGGGTTTTTGTTTTATTTTTCTTATTTTGTGTCCCAGTCTAGCTGATTTACCTTAAGTGGGTTTGCCATGTGCGCTTTTAAGCATGTTTCAGACAATCTAAGTTGTTAAGTTTTTAATGAGATTTTCTTTGTCTTGAGTTCAATGTTCTTTTAGGTGATTCAGCATTTACTGAGATTTTAAAATAACTTTTTCTTAGAAATCATAGTACATTTCTATGTAACTTTTTGTCAGTGTGTTTGTGGCTTGCATATAGAGGTCAGAGGACAAAGTGTGGGTGTCAGTTCTTTCCTCCCACCATGTGGTTCCGGGGGATGGAACTCAGGGTTATTTTGCTTTAAGCAGGCTTCTACTTAACTGCCTTGTCTGTCCAAGATTTTAAAGTAACTTATTAATAAGGGTACCAAAAACATGGATTTTTCTTTCTTTTGTATCTTTTATATTTGCATATTAATCTTTCTAGTGTCAAGTGATAATTTGTCTTTTAAGTATGTATTTGTCCAAGTTATCAGAAATAGTAAGCGATTTAGGCCAGGTATCAACAACCAGAACCAATCTTCTCGTCAACAAAGACTGCCTCTGTGTGTGTGTGTGTGTGTGTGTGTGTGTGTGTGTGTGTGTGTGTAAACAATAGTGTTGTTTAGGACTTTGTGCACACTAAGGTGAGTGCTCTACCACCCAGGTACATAGCCTGCCTTCTTTTTATGTATGCTCCTGGTAGTAATTTGGAATGGAAGTTAGTGTTTCTTGTTCTCAACATTTTCATAGCTCCTAATTTGGAATTTCAGTTTCTATAACAAATACTTTGTAATTTTCATATTTGTAAAACCTATGTTTATCTGAATTACAGTATTTAAAGACTCAGATCTCACATGATTTTATCCGACTTTAGCAGTCATTCACAGCTTGAGACCATTTTACTAACAGGTTAATAAAAAGATTGCATTTGTAGGTGTGTAATAGCATGTGACATTAAATAGATCTTATTTCATATTTTTTCCGGTTAATTATGCATGCACACGTCACACTCATACACAGCACACAGTGACAGTCATACACAGCACAGAGACACAGACACATTCACACAGTACAAACTTACCTGGGACTCGAACTGGCAACCTCGGGCTCTGCAGGCGGCGCTCCCATCCTCTCAGCCAGCGCTCCGACCGTTCTTATTTCATATTTTTAAGAAGGCATGAAAACTGGCTTACACTTACTGTCTTTTCTCCTTGTTTGTCTGTTAGGTGAATTGTAATAGGAAATTAAAAGCTATGCTGAACCCTTTCCCTGTTTTCCTGCGAGTGTGCCCCTGCAGAAAATGTGTTCGACCTCAGGAGACCAACCAGAACAGACACTTGTTTCTATAGGAGAGGACAGTAGTTGTCTAATGCTACCTGTGACTGTGTTAGGTTAAAACTACACCTTCCAGAATATCAGTAATAGAGATTGTCGAACTACTATCAGTCTACCTTGCCTCTCAGTTCAGTAGGTTCTGAATTCTGGTGCAGTAGAAAAATGTTCAAACTATAATGGTCTGATAGTGCTATTATATCGACAAGTCAGTTTTTTACGAATACTGCTTTGTGGTTGAAATGTGAACTTAAAAGTATTTTCAGACCTTTCTGGTGTGTGGAACACTAGAATTATATAGGTAGGTGACAGGGTTTTTCTTAATTTTTTAGGAAATAGTATATTTAGAGATGAGGTGATATCTTTTTCTTCCAATATATTCCAAGAGATTTAACTTATTTATAAATGCGAATTTAGGATTTGCCTAGTTAACAAGTATCACCTTACAGAGAGTCCCTTTAAATTTTAATTGAATTATGGACACTTGTCTTTCATTGACTTTTTAAATGGGTAGTTTTGTTTGAGGCTTGTCTGACTCTTTTTGGGGTCTAAAATGGCTTAAGAAATTTAAAGTGATTTGAGTGTTCAAACAAAAGGATGGTTTCTTTAGTTAGCCCTATTCTGCCAAGTTTAGATACTGTAGTCTTAATCCTTGTCACTTACTTTGACTTTTCTTATGTTCCTTTGTGGAAGGATAAAAGACTTTAGAGTACTGAAAAACATCCAGATGTGTCCATCTGATGTGCCTGTCATACTAGCAACCAACTACAGAAAAGCAATATCAAATGCAAAAGGGTGTCATTATGCTTTAATTGACTGCAAGCGGGACAGGAAGAAACAAGATCATTATCACCTACTTTCTGGCAAAGGATGTGCTTGGGCTCTACACTGATCTTCCCTACCCCCAAATTTGTTTCCTGGAAAGGATTTAGTGTGCTAGGCTGTTATGATATACTACAAGACCAAGATATCTATCTACTCAGCACTGCCTGTTAGTCTTGTCCAACTCTTGGCCCTTCTGCTGCATGCCATCAAGAATACTTATGGATGCATTTAAACATAAAACCCTAAACTCACTTAAAAACATTATGAAATACTTTGTGTGATTCTCAAGTATGAAGTTCATAGATGGCAATATTGTGTCACAGTGTCTTTGGATATCCTTGGAAATAATACAAGATGTAACTGATGGCCAACAAATACATAATGTGATGGGATTGGGAAAGTAGGAGAGTATTATTTCTGTATTTATAGTCCTTTAAAAAGAAAAAAAAGCCGGGTGGTGGTGGTGCACTCCTTTAACCCCAGCAGAGGCAGGTGGGTGGATCTTTGTGAGTTAGAGGCCAGCCTGGTCTACAAGAGCTAGTTCCAGGACAGGCTCCAAAGCTTCAGAGAAACCCTGTGTCGAAAAACAAAAACAAAAAAAACCCAAAAAGCCTGATTTCTGTTGTAGTTGACTAACCAAAAGTAGCAAGTTCTTTTCTTTGTATGTTCAAGTGTTGAACACAGAAATGAATGGGCATAGTACATGTGTGGAGATCAGAGGATAACATTGGGTATGGTTCTTACTCTCAACCATGTTGCAGTTGTGTGTGGGGGTCTCTTGTTTGCCATTGCGCAACAGGTTTGCTGGAGCTTTAGTGGTTTCTCTTGTTTCCATTTTCCATCCACCATTGGGGAACTGGTTTTATTTAGGTTTTGGGGAATCTGAACTCAGGCTCTCACTCTTAAGTACTTTACTGACATCTCAGTATCCCTTTGGCACAATTTCCAAGACAAACTAGAGATACCTTAGTTAAGATTAAACAATTGGTTTTAACTAAGCCTTAATTAAGGTACAGTGGTTTTATTCAGACAGTACAACTAAGTTAAATATAGAGACAGAATGAATCTACAGCCCTGTAATAGGCAGTCAAAATTGTAAGTAAAGAAACAATAGGCTGAATTATATGACTTGTTAACTATCAGAAAAATTAGATACACTAGGTAGTGATGGTGCACGCCTTTAATCCAAGCACTAGGGAGGCAGAGGCAGGTGGATCTCAGCTTTCCAGGCTAGTCTGGTCTACAGAGCAAGTTCCAGGATAGCCAGGGCTACACAGAAAAACCATGTCTCTAAAAATTAGATACAGGTATGCGCTCCTTGAACTATTTTATCTGTACTTTTGTGATTAAGTGCAAGACTATTTCTGTAGTAAATTCTGATTTTTTTTTAATGGTACCTAGAGGGATAGCTGTGGGTGCTGGAAACTGAACTCTTA